TTGCCACACTAAGACATCTCCTCTGCCTATTTTCCATAGCAGATACTGATACATACTACTTTTAATTTTGCACATAGAATTCCAAGAGTGAGAGTTTCCCATGTACCATTTCTTAATCACATGATGAATCTTTTGACAATACTTATCCATTAGAAAATCCTTCCATAAAGAGTTGGTAGCCCTTAAGGTCCACCATTGCTTGGTAGTAAAAGCTTTAAAAATATCTTGAAGTCTTCTGAAGGAGACATCTCCTTCATCATATGGGTAGCACATGGAGTTCCAATAAGCCTAGTGCATTTTCTTTTTCTCACCCGAACCACCCCAAAGAAATCTGTTAAACTTTTTTTCCATTTGGTTAAGAACACCAATAGGAGGATGAATTACTGCTGGGGTGTAGACCGAAAGCGAGAGTAGTACATGCTTATTAAAATTCTTCTTCCTCCTATTGAGAGAAATTTAGTTTGCTAACTCCCGATCCTGTGAAGTATTTTACTCGTCATTTCAGAGAATAGATCATTATTCTTCCTTCCTTCATATAGTGGGCAACCCTAGTACTTGATTGGTAGGCTCTTGTAAGTCATACCAGTGATCTCATGAATCTTTTGCTTAGCTTGAGAGTGCTCTTTCCTAGATAGTGACACACTAGATTTCATCTTGTTAACCTCCCGTCCTGAAACTTTTTCATAGTTGCCCAAAACTTTCATCATCAACTCAAGAGATCTCTTGCATCCACTAGAAAATAAGATAATGTCATCAGCAAATGCTAAATGATTAATTATTGAACCCCTTTTATTCATGCTAAAGCCAATGAATTGAGGGTTATGATTGAGGTTGTTAAGTTTAAAAGAGAGAAATTCAGCACTATTAACAAACAAGGAAAGAGAGATAGGGTCTCCTTGTCTTAGACCCCTCTTGGATTGAAAAAAATCATACATACTCCTATTAACTAGTAGGGAATACCAGTTACTGTGTATATGCCTAAAAATCAAGTTAATTCATAATTCACAGAACCCCATCCTTCTCATGAGAATGCACAAATAAGGCCAGGAGACTCTATCATAAGCTTTAGTCATTCTAATTTAAGAACAACATTGCCTTCCACATTAATATAACCAATGTCTTGAATGATTTCTTGAGCAAGAAGAATGTTCTCAGTAATAGATCTACCCTTGATGAAACCATTTTGGTTATTACAAATCAATAGTGGAAGCACCTTACTAAGTCTGGAATTCAGAACTTTAGAGAAAATTTTACTGATTACATTACAAAGGCTAATGGGTCTCATGTCAGAAAATTGTTGAGGGTGATTAATTTTGGGGATCATTGCCAATAACTCCATTTCAATAAAACATTATAAGATGATTTTGCACCTCAAATAGTTACATTCATTATTAATTTTTAATATTGATTAGCTTCATTGAAGTTGTCAAACTAATTACTTCCCCTTTTTAGAATTATCTTTATCTCTTTTAGTGCATTTTCAAAATAAATTGTAAGAAATATTGATAATTTTGTGTCCAATAAAATTAAATTTATAATGCATACACAACTCACATAAAAATGTGCTCTCTAATACACTTTAGACCTATAGTTAAAATATTTCATTAAGAATACAAATGTCTTTTATGTATTCCATCTGAAATACATAAAGTATGATTTAACACCTGATCTATTTCAATAGTAATACTTAGATTGACTGTGTCTGTTGGCTTAATCAATTCTTAGTTCTTATTTGTCCTAGCCTGTTCAACTGTCGTGTAGATCAATCTTGGATTTCAATTGCATTGTTTTATAAATTAATCCTTACATTAATGCAAGTTAGACCATATTTCAAGCGCTTCGTCTTATCTTTTTTATCCCACTCTTTCTACTAAACATAAACTCTTTCATGATTTTTGATATCCCTCATGGAGTGTAAAATCACCTAAACATAGCACATCATAATATCATTGATAGTTCGCAATGTTGAAGAAAATAATCTACGTCCTTACACATAAGTTATGTTGTCAAAATCACTCTTCTAATAGCTAGTCAAGTGAAAAATACACATTTCTTGACACATTTGAAGTCCATATTACATAACATGGGAAAACTTGCTCCCCCAAACTAAAATCTTTATATAACCCAAAAGGTATCCCTTTAAATGTGAATGTTCCATTAGGACAAGTGAAAATGATTTTCTCCTTCTCTTTAGGGGCAATATAGATCTTATTATACCTTGAGTACTTGTCAAGAAAACAGTATCACCCTTTGCCTATAAGGCATCTAACATTTGGTCCATGAATAAAAATGAAAAATAATATTTTTGGGTCCACACATTCAGTTTCTTGTAGTTTAAGTACACACGACACCATGTAACTAGCCCCACTAAAATCAATTCATTTTTGTTATTTGAAACCACATTGATCCCACCTTTCTTTAACATACATTGGAAATGGCTTACTCATTTATATATTGTTAGCGATATACACTTGCATCCATCCACTTAATGATTTTCTTCTTTATCATCTTTTGCATCGGTGGATTTAACTTTCGCTGATGCTCAATACTAGAAATGTAATTATTTGACTCTAATTGAATTTTATATGAACAAGTATCAAGAAGGATTCCAATGATATCTGTTATGGTCCATCTGATAACTCTCTTATACTATCTCAATACTGATACAATATCTCCCACTTGTCACTCTAATACGTCTACTGCAATAATCACTGGCTAAGTGCCACTAGCCCCCAAAATGCATATCGTAGAGAAGAGCGGAAAGCCTTAAGCTCTAACACGGAAGGCTCTTAAATAGAAAGTTTGGCTAGTGGGGTCTCATGATTTTTTAAGTCAAGTGCATAAGAATAAAAACACATGCTAGCAAGTGCATTTTCAATCTCTTTATATTCTCAGTTGTCACACCCATTAAATTCATAATAATTACAGCTAAAGTCTCTAGCAAAAATTGGCTCTTAGTAGAAATTTCAAACTAAGCTTCATCAATAACGGATACCTCACTCTTCTCTCTTACCTACTTCATTTACCAATAGATATTAAAGATTACCTCTTCATTATTTAACTAGAACTTTAGTTCACCACTCTTTAGGTGTCATTACGATCTAGAAAATTGGGTCGGAATAACAACGATGATTGTTATTAATACTCTCTTTCTTCACTTTTACTTATCACTTATTTCTAAAATAGATTTTCATTTTTACTTGTCACTTTTGATATATCAAGAAAAAATAATTATTTTTTCTATGTTTTACTCATTAGCATTAAATACTATTCTCCAAATCATTTTTCAAGAGTTAATACTAAACATCAATTAATAGGGGTAGTGTGATGAAATACATATATCAATAATTGTTTTCTTAATGGGTGTGTCAAGTCAAACAATGACAAATAAAAATGAACTGATGGAGTACATCTTAATTCTAAGTATGCTTGCAAGTCCATATAAGTGAAGGAGTCCATTTAACTCATTTTTACTTAAATAGATCACTCATATTTACTAAATGGGTATAAGTGGACTGACCTATTTTGAAAGTTCATACAAATATGGACAAAGTGGATAAAATATAAAAATTGATAGACCCATATATGATCCATCTATAATAAAAATCCTTCATTCTTTACTCTTTTTTTCTAAAAAAATTATTTAATTTCTTTTTAAAAATTATTGGG